CCCCTCCCTCCCCCTCTCCCTGGCTATCTTCTGAAGTGGATACTGTCTGGCCTTTTCCAGTGAGGGCCTAAGCTTTTCTGATCTAGAATTGCCTGGGTGTGGATGGAGATAGGAGACCAGCGATGCAAAGGCTTTTCCTTTACTAGTTTTCTGTTTTGTATAAAGATACATTATGAAATGAAATAAGTACCCTTGTGATATATCCCCCTGAAACAAATTGTGTCCCATTCATGTAGCTCTCCAAGGTACATTAAACTGGTATCTTTTTGTTTGGTAATTTAGGGTGCTGGGAATATAGGTAGTCATTCCAAACCATCAAGTTCCTTTGGTCACATTCGATTAACTTGATTTCCTGAGTGCGCATGATAGCCCCTGCCAAGATAAAATGCAGGCAGGGCTTAAGTGCATTTTTTGGTATTGATAGTACAATAATGGTTTGTTTATTTGAGATAGAAGCAGAGATTTTACAAAAAGATGGCGGTCATCTGACTAATCAAAGAAGGGCCTTAGTAGTATTTGTTTTATAGCAAAAGTAGGTGCTATTTTTGTTTCTCTTTGGGCAATGCTTGCCTCCTAAGAGTCAATACGACTGAACTCAGCTGTTTGTAAGATGATAAAGTACCATAAGATCCTTTTTAATTTTCAGTGCTTACTTATGAAATAATTATTTAATATTTTTGTCTCTTCAAGTGTCTAAAAGAAGATGTTCAGCGACAACAGGAAAGAGAGAAGGAACTTCAGCAAAGATATGCTGATTTGCTGATGGAGAAAGAATCTTTAAATTCTAAAATATGAAGCACAGTGTATATTCTGTCACAAGATAATTAATTTCTGGTTTTCATACTCTGGAAGGCTGAAACTGATGTTTATCTTCATTGACAAATTTGCCCATAATCTGTGGTTTTTTGGTTGTTTATTTTAAACGATATCGATCTAACACATTCTATGTATAAAGACTTTAACTCCACAAGACATTTTAGGGTTTAAATTATTATGACAATCATTCTTTTAGCAGTGTCATATTTGCAGATTTTTTTAAAGTTTCGGCCTTTATCTTAAAAGCTTGATTTTAAAGTGCTGCCTGTGAGTATACTCTTGAATAAAAACAAAATAAAAAAATTGAGGATGTAGCCTTTTGTTTGAAGTAATTGGATACTTTTAGAGTGCCCACAAACCAGGAAATAATGAATAACTCTCTGTAGTCAAATGGTGACCCAGTATCTTAACTTAAACCCCAAAGAGGCAATCCTTTTGTGGCTTTGTTAGTTTTTAGTTTTTACTGTTTTAGCATAGAATGGTCATTTGTCTCTATACTGACAAGATAGATTAACTTTTTAATACCTCTTTTTTTTTCTTCCCTCCAATATAATTTTAGGGAAGATCTCTTCTCTGCCCAGCTACTTACATACGTAGTTTATGGATTAGGGCTCAAGATTTCTTGACTTGTTATTTTCTTGTAAAAGTTTTCTGACAAAGGCATTTTAAAGATTAATTTCAGCAGGGCTGTCAAACTTCAATTATTAAAGCTCTGTGTTTATCTTAACAAGTCAGTCACACAGATGTAGAATTTGGGGAATGGATGGGTAGAGGTGAGAAGATCTAACTTTGTAACAATGCATAGGAAATCATTTAGGGCAGTATTAGTTGGCTACACATTCAATATAGGCCAACAATGTGTTGGAGTCACCAAAAAAATTTGCCTAATCTTAGAATATTAGGGACTTAAAAGGGAGGGAGAGAAGGATACATTCATTAATCAGATATTTATTGTCCGAGTCCTGGAGACAGAACGGTGAGTAAAACAGGCATAGTTCCTGTTTTGTGGAGCTTACAGTTTATTGAGAATGACAGACAACCAAAATTCAAATGTTTACTGAGTGACTTGTATGCCAGGCACTTTTAAAGTGTTGGAGTTGAACAGTTATTAAGACACAGTTCTTGCTGTCATGGAGGCGACATTGTGGGAGGAGATAATAAACATGCAGGGAATAGGATCAGATCATGAACTTTAAATTCTGTGGAGGGAATTAAAATAGGGTGATGGGAAATAGTGACTGGGTGGCTACTTTAGGTCAGTTGATCATGTTATCTCTAGGGAGGTACCATTTAAGATAGTATGTGATTGACATTTTAGAAGGAGCCCTGTGAGATCGAAGGGAAGTGCAGTGCTAGCAAAGTGAAGAACTAGCAGAAAGGTGTGTAAGAAGCAGAAAGTCAGTATGACCAGCGTGTCACGAATGGCATTTGTATAAGGCCCGATCGTATAGGGCCATATTTATAAGGCTGTAGTAAGGAATTTGGATCTTACTCTATGATGGGAAGCTTTCCTTCTAAGCAAAGGAATGACATGGTCAGATTTGTTTTAGAAACATCCTGTGGCCATACTGTGTAATTGGCCGGTGTGGCTCAGTTGGCTGAGTGTAATCCATTGCACCAGAAGGTGGCGGTTTCAATTCCCCATCAGGGTACATGCCCAGGTTCCAGGCTTGGTCCTGTAGGGGGCGTGCCTCTCCCTAGGTCGAAATTAAGGAATCAGTTACTTCAGGAGCCTGATGCAGTAATCCTGGCAAACGAGAATGACTCATACTAGGATAGAAGCAGTCCTGATGGAGGCGTGGAAAGATTTGAGCAGCAATAGTTCTGGTCAGATCATACATTTGTATTTTCCTGGTATCTACTTAATTCTAGTACTTTTCCTGGTAATTTTGCATGGGTATTCTAGGAAACACTTAGATAGCTATGAGGAATGATGGTTTTCTAATAGTCTTATTTAATTTTTATTGCATGTTTTGTTGGCTGAAATGTTTAGAACAGCATTAAGTAACGATTATAACAGTAGACATTCTTGTTTTGTTTCTGACTTTAATGGGAACATCCATAGCAGTTACCTTTACGCTGGCTGTTTTGAGTCAGATATTCTTCATCTAGAAAGGAAATTTCCCTCTATTTTTAGTTTTTATGATTTTTTTTTTTAAATTCTCACCCCAGGATATTTTTCCCATTGCTTTTCAGAGAGGGGGGTGGGGAGAGAGGGAGAGAGAGAAACATCAATATGAGACACATTGATTGGTTGCCTCCTGCACATGCCCTGACTGAGGCTGAGCCTGCCACCGAGGTACTCGCCCTTGGCTGGAATTGAGCATCCGCAGGCAGACACTAACCACTGAGCCAAACCAGCCAGGGCTATTTTTAGTTTTAAAATAATTTCAATTAGATGTGGCTCTGGAATTTTGTCAAATATGCTTTTTGGGTATCTGTTAACATGATTATATAGTTTTTTTTCATTTGATTTGTTGATGACTTTTTTTTTAATGAGAGTACATTTATTAAAGCTGGGGATAGTGAAACAAGGAAGGGCTTAGAACAAAAGAAGCAATAGGAGAGAGCCTAGGAGGGGCTGCTTTGGCTCCCTAGAAATGTTATAGGAAAGAAATGAACCTAGGTGGGGCTCCTTTTAGCTCATTGAAAAGTCAGAGAAAAGGGGACCTTGGTGACAGGTTCAGGGGGTTAGCCTGGGACGGGCTGCCACTATCCATTTCTTTCCTGGTTGCATATCTCGTGGGGACCCTTAGAGTTTAGGAGATGGATGCCTGAGAAGGAAGAAAGGTGTGAGCATGCTCCCAAGAGGGAGAGCTCTGTTGATGACATATTAATAGATTTTCTAGCATTAAACAATCTTTGAACTGCTGGAATCAGGTAGATTAAATTTCTTTTTAAAAAAAGATTTATAGCTTACTTGCATATTATGTAGACTTGAATTATACCGATTTGAAATTGTTGATCTAATAGTAATAAAGACTCATTTTGATTTTAAAATTTGAAGTAATACATATACAGTAAACCCTTGATTTTGTGGACAAAATTTCTGGTCCATATGTCATGTGAAGATTAACACCTTGTTAATTTTAAATGCTTTTAACCAAGATTTGCTTATAATTAAATTAAGTTATTTTTAAAAAGTTTTAGCAAATAGGCCATATGTTGAAAAAAAAACTGTAGTAATTTCACCGACATAAATAAATACTATATATCTGCAACTATAGTGTACATATTTAAATCCAAGAGTTACTGCTTGTAAACAATGTTCATGGAATGGTTAGCACCTGATCACACTGCAACACATGGATAATTGGTTCTGTTGTTGAGTGGCGTGACTTTCTGCAGCAGTTTTAACACACAGGGGCAGATGTTCCAACACCGTAGCCACGCCCCATCTGTGTACATTTGTTTACTTGCAGTGAGTGGTAAATGCACACATTTACTAGGCCTATTCAGTATAAATTTAAAATTACAGTAATATATATAGAAACTTTTCTGTGAAATTAATCTTTTCACACATACTTAATTTTAATTATACAAATATGTCTACATAAGTAAAAACAGGTAAACTAGCCTTGGCCGGTGTTACTCAGTGGTTAGAGTGTGGCTGACACATTGTAGGATCTCTGGTTCGATTCCCAGTCAAGGGCACCTACCTGAGTTGCAGGTCCGATCCCCAGCCCCGGTTGGGGCATGTGTGGGAGGCAACCAATCAATGTGTCTCTCTCATATCGACGTTTCTCTTTCTCCCCACCACTCTCTCTCTAAAAAAAAAAAAAAATGGAAAAAATATCCTCCGGTAAGGATTAACAACAGCAAAAACATACAAAAAACAGGCAAACTAATTTGTCAAATTTTTAACACACATTTGGAAAACCTACTTTATTATATAACGGACTTTTGGCTGTAACGGACACCCCCTTGCCCAAATTAGTCTGTTATATCGAGGTTTTACTGTACTTACAGTTTAAAAAGTGACCAAGAATTGCATTGCCTAATTTCAAAACTGGCAGTGTCAGTGCATTTGTAAGCTGTTTGTGCTTTTGCCACACAGCAGTAAAGCTTTGACCGGTAAAGAAACACCCATTGTCTTCTGTCAGCATCCTGGAAAGCCCAGGGTTCCTTACCAGCACCATGCTGGCGGTGATTTTGGCCACTAGTTTAATACATTTATCATACTCTCTTACGAGCAACTCATTGCGTGGAAGTGTTAAAACTAGCATTGAAAAGGATGTTCAATTCTCAGTAACTTTGGGACAAATTGAATGTGATAAAGATCCAAAAGAAACTACCACTGAGCAAGAGTCCCTTTTGAAATAGTAGAAATAATGGCGAGATAAGAAAAAGCAGCCTCGGAGAGAAAGTACACTGCAGTGATTGTGGGCTTCTGCTGCCCCAACTGTGCACCCCCTGCTTTTACATTTATTTTTCTGGGAAAATCAGTTTTAAAATATATGGTGTCCTCTGGAATGCATTTTTCCTAAAATGTGACTGCCTTAATGGTACTATAGAGTTTGATTTGCTAATATTTTACTTAGGAAAATTGCATTTTCACATGAGTGAGTTTGGTCTTTTGGCTATTATCCAAGCTTTGACATTGGGATTTTGCTAGCTCTATAAGGCGGATAGGATAACTATATATATTTTTCTATGCATTAAGCAGTTATATTATAGCACAGGAGTGATTTGTTCCATGAAATATTGAAGGACTGTGCTTATAAAACTGGAGTTCAGAGCCCTTTTTGGAAAGAATTTCTTGATAGCTATCAGTTTCTTTTGTGACTATCAGTATGTCATCTGTTTTTAAATTTAGGTAACTTTAAAATTTTGTTTTCAAATGTATTTTTCCTTTTGTGTTTATTATTTACTAAAGATAATTTATACTTTTCTAGCAAACTTCATTTTTTGAAATTTAATGCATTTATTAGCAGAGAATATTAATAGAGAATAAAAAATTTCTATTAAATTTGCTACTTCTAGGTTATAAGAAACTTACCTTTTCTTAGTTCTACCATTTCTTATTTTTTTCTTGATTAGACTTGCTAAAGGTATCTATTTTCCTTTCAAAACAACCAGTTTGGATTTGTTTATCAATTGTGATTTTGTATTTATTTCTCATTTTATGTTTATTATTTTTGTTTTCTCTAGATGTCTTCCCTGTAACTTTTGAGTCTGATGCTTATTTTTTGTTTTTGGTTGTGTACAGTGAATACATTGAAGGTTTTTGCTTATCTCTAATTTCACATATGTTCCCATCCCAGCTATGTTGATGTGTTTTCTAAGTAGTTTATTATTGTGTTTTAAATTTTGG